CAACAGTTTAAATAAGTTTTCAGTAGACAGCTCAAAAAATCTGTTCTGGTTTATTGGCTTAAACTCTCTGGTTCTGGATTATTGTCTCTCTTATATAAGAATAGAAACGTTCTATTTTTTTTTAATTGCTGAAAGTTTCTACCATTTTACCAATATCATGCCATTTCTCCTACCCCGCAGTCCCTGGCAACCACTTTTCTACTGTTTCTATGAGTTTGACTTTTAAAAAAAAACTTATGTATTCATTTATTTATTTTTAGATTTCACATATAAGTGATACCATGCAGTATTTGTCTTTCTCTGTATGGCTTATTTTACTTAGTGTAATGCCCTCCAGGTTTATCCATATTGTTGAAAATGACAAGATTTTCTTCTTTTCTTAAGGCTGCTAAATATTTCATTATACCTATATCTAAGTAAAGATACAGCTATAGATATGTCTCACATTTTTTTTATCCATTCGTCCATCAACAGACCCTGAGGTTGTTTCTGTATCTTGGCTATTGTAAATAACGCTGCAATGAGTATAAAGGGCATAGATTTCTTTGAGATACTAGTTTTGTTTCCTTTGGATATATCCCCAAAAGTAGGATTGCTAGATCATGTGGTAATTCTATTTTTAATTTCTTGAGGCACCTCCATACTGTTTTCCATGGTGACTGTACCAATTTACAGTCTCACCAGTAGTGTACAAGGAATTCCTTTTCTTGACATACTCACCAGCCTCTGTTATCTCGTCTTTCTGATGAGAGCCCTTCTAACAGGTGTGATATCTCATTGTGGTTTTAATATTCATTTTTATGATGATTAGTATGTTGAGCACCTTTTCATGGACCTTGTGGTCATTTTCATGCCTTCTTTGGAAAAATGTCTACTTAAGTCCTTTGCCAATTTTTAATTGCATTATTTACTTTTTGCTATTGAGTTGTATGAGTGCCTTGTATATTTTGGATATGAACCCCTTATCAGATAAGTGGTTTGCAAATATTTTCTTCTCCTTTGCTGTGTAGAAGCTTTTTAGTTTGATGTCCCATTTGTTTTTTTACTTTTGTTACCTTTTCTTTTAGTGTCAAATCCAAAAAAATCATCACCAAGACTCATGTCAAGGAGCTTACTGCCTATGTTTCTTCTAGGAGTCTTATAGTTTGAGGTCTTAGGTTCAGTTATTTAATCCATTTTGAGTTGTTTTGTGTGGTGTAAGACTTTCATTCTTTTTTTGGTGTATGGTGTACTTTCATTCTTCTGCATGTGGCTGTCCAGGTTTTGCAATACCATTTATTTAAGAGACTATCCTTTTCCTATTGTATATTCTTGGCTCCTTGGTTGTAAATTAATTGGCCAAATATGTGGTGGTTTATTTCTGGGCTCTCAATTATGTTCCATTGATCTATGTGTCTCAGTTACGTCAATACCATACTGTTTTGATTGCCTTGTAGTACAGTTTGAAATTAGGAAGTGTTATGCCTCTTGCTTTGTTCTTCTTTCTCAAGATTGCTTTGGCTATTCAGGGTCTTTTGTAGTTCCACACAAATTTTGGGATTGTTTATTCTATTTCTGTGAAAAACGCCATTGGAATTTTTATAGGAATTGCATTGAACCTGTAGGTCACTTTGAGTACTGTAGACATTTTAACAATATTAATTCATCCAATCCATGAACATAAAATACCTTTTCATGTATGTGTATTTCCTTCAATTTCTTTCATCAATGTCTAAAAGTTCTCAGTATACAGATCATTCACCTTCTTGATTCAGTTTATTCCTAAGCATTTTATTTCTTTTTGATGCAATTGTAAATGGGATTGCTTTCTTAATTTCTCTTTCTGATAGTTCATTGTTGGTGTTTAGAAACACAACTGATTTTTTCATATTGATTTTGTATCCTGCAGCTTTACTGAAATGGTTTATTAGTTCTAATGGTTTTTTGGTGGAGCCTTTAGGGTTTTGTATCTATAATATCATGCCATCTGCAAATAGTGACAGCTTTACTTCTTCCTTTCTGATTCCGATGCCTTTTCTTTTTTTCTTGCCTAATTGCTCTGGCTAGGACTTCTAATATTATGTTGAATAAAAGTGGAGAGAGTGGGCATCCTTGTGTTTCTCCTGATCTTAGAGGGAAAGCTCTTAGCGTTTCACTCTTGAATATGTTAGCTATGGGTTTGTCATATATGGCCTTTGTTATGTTGAGGTATATTCCCTCTATACCCAGTGTGTTGAGAGCTGAAACATTTTATCTTAAATAATACATCCAGAGAAAATGGACCAGGTGAGCTCAGATTGTTTCTCTAGCAAACATCAGGATATAAGTCAGCTCAGTTTTATAAATTCCCAGGGGCCACTAATTGGGATCTTTAAAATGTCATGGTTAATTAAGTCAAGCCAAGGATCTGAAGCCATTTCTTACTCTAATAGTAGTATACACAGAAAGACAGTCATGAAGTCATAGTTTTGAACAGCAGGGTAAATTTATATGAAATTTCATACCTGTGCCCCTCCTTCTTTTTCTGGTATGTAGCTGTTTTCATTTGCAAAAGATAAATCCATGCCAAGAATTCAACTGGACATGACCTAAAATTACTTTTTTTTTTTTTTTGCGGTACACGGGCCTCTCACCGTTGTGGCCTCTCCCGATGCGGAGCACAGGCTCTGGACTCACGGGCTCAGCAGCCATGGCTCACGGGCCCAGCCGCTCCGCGGCATGTGGGATCCTCCCGGACCGGGGCATGAACCCGCGTCCCCTACATCAGCAGGTGGACTCTCAACCACTCGGCCACCAAGGAAGCCCCTAAAATTACTTTAATCTTAGCATGTACCTTGGAGGTATAAAGTCCGCTTTCCTTGGCAACCGTGTATAGCCAATCCACACAGACTTTACATGTATGAACAGGGTTCTTTCTTCAGAAGTAGCAATGAGGTTTATTGGAATATCGATTCAGGTATAGCTTGAGAAACCTATTATAAACCTATTATTTAATACAAACTGTCAAACATAAGGTTGGCTTATTAGTTTTAGAAGCTATGAAGAAGATGGAGTAAAATACAAGTACTGTTAAGGGGCAAGAAAAATTCTTTCAGGGAATCAGAATCCATCACCAAGATAACCAAAATAAGTGTTTTGACTAAGTTTGAGGTTGAGTAGAGGATGTCATAAATCATACTTTGGGGGAAAATCCCAAATCTGAATATGAAATTATGCTGCACACGTGATAGTATTTGTCATGTGTTTGCTTTGCTCATGGCCCACGTACCACAGGTTAGGTTCTCCACTTTACAGACAAGAAAACTGAGGCTAGTGTCAACAAACAAGTTAAGTGGCAGAGTTTGGATCAAATTTTTAAAACTCTGATTAAAAAAAAAAAACCCCAAAATTCAGGCTCTCTTTTACATACCCCAGTGCTTTTCTGTATCTTCACAGAGGTAAATAAATCATTCTGGGTAGTTTTATTTTCTAGTGGCAAAGGGTCTATCCACTCAGGAAGCGAAACATAATAGAAAGCTTTCTAAAATTATGTAATATATTTTCTTGCCCCGTTAACATTATTATGCTAAATAATACTGAACATTTATAATGTTTTCCTGAGAATTCATCCTTAATACGGGTGATACCAGAGATGAGATGATGCTCCCAGGGTCCGAGGTATGGGGGGCACTGGCTGCACACCGTGTTGCTTTTCCAGTTTGTCAGAGCATGATTTTTATTCCTCCCCCAGCTGCTGTTTGTGCTTGCAGTCTTTTGCCGCCTTAAATGGGAATCTCCCAGGGTCTTAGAATCTAAATAATTAAACCAGTTAGAATTGTACGTAAATACAAGTAAGTAGGCCTGAAAGGCTGCACAAGGAAAAGATTAAGAGCACAGTCCCTAATTTCCATTTTCATGTTACCACAGCCCAATTAAATACTTCTTTAAATTTTATGTTGTGTCCCATATAGGAGAGCGCACCACTTAACTGAGTTCTAGGTAAATGAGGGACAACGAAACTTTCATTAGAAGCAAGAAATACATATACACACACACGATTTATTTTTTTCACTGGTACTGACCTACCCCACTTAAAAATTTCTACTGGACTAAAAAATAATTTATTTTTGAAAAAGGACTATATTTTAAATACTCGTTTAGCATTTGTTTATATTCTATTGTTAAGAGTTTTTTTTCCACAGTGGAATGTGTTTTTGGTTTTCCTACTGCAAAAGCCTTTGTTATAGATTTGCATAGACTAGTCACTAAAAAATCTTGCTTTAGTAAGGAAGTAGCAGAACAGGAGCCTAACTTTGGGCGAGTTTTAATGTTCCTGAGCCCTGGTTTCTTCATGTGTAAAATGCAGGTCAGTAACAATGCAAACGAGGTCATATGGTATAGCAGGCTGCCATAGTCCATCAGGGCTGCTGTAACAGAATACCAAAGACTGGATGGCTTATAAACAGAAATTTATTTCTCATAGCTCTGGAGGCTGGGAAGTCAAGATCAAGACCCCAGCAGACTGGGTGTCTGGTGAAGGCCTGCTTCCTGGTTCATAGACAGCTGTCTTCTCGCTGTGTCCTCACATGGTGAAAGGGATGAGGGAGCTCTCTGGGGTCTCTCTTATAAGGGCACTAATCTAAGCCTACAGCCCAGGCTTAGCACAGTAATGGCACAATAAAAGATGATTATTTGAACACGAATTCAACTGAAATTCAAGCAGAACAAAACTCAAAACCATATACTTACTCTATAGCTTAAAAAAAACTGTTCACTGTCATCTCCTCTACTAGAGGGAATTAAAGCTGGCCTGTTAAGTTGCCTGACAGGACCACTAAATGTCTAAATTGGGAATCGACTATATTGTATCCAGTTTAACCCTTTCTGTTAACACAGGGAAACAGAGGTCCAGGGAGTTCGAGAAACTTGCCCAGAGACAGACAACTACTTTTGGGCTGGGCCAAGTGTAAGACCGGGGTTCCTTTCATTAACACCAACATCTTTTCATTTACGTGGCCTTTCACAATTTACCAAGCACCTCGTCAGCTCCATGACCTCATTTATTATACTATATCCATGAGCTTACAGAGATGGCTTTTGGGAGATTTTTTGCATCCACAGACCAGTGTTGCAATAGCTTATTCTATACTGACCCTTAAATTTAAAAAATATGTATGTACACACACATGTAAATGTGTGCGTACATATACATGCACATATGGAAGACACGGCACCGCATCTCCCTGTGTCACCCCATGCGGGCCACACCCTGGCAGTCACAAAGCACAAACAGAAAAGGGTCTTTGGTTTCAGAATTCCCGAGTTGCCACTGGGCTCAGAAGTGTTTACGCTTTCAAGAGAAGTAGGAATGTATTAGGCTTCCCTTTAATGAGTCTCATTTTGAGATGGGATGGCAAGGTTGGCCAGCCGCTCTTCATGCAGTTTTTGTAGTAAGTCTTTCAGAGAATGAGTGGTGAAGCCAATTCATTTCTCCTCCTGGAATTTGTCCTTCCTCTTTTTCTCTGTTGTGAGGTTATATATTAAAGGTATGGGCATACAGACATTACGAAAGATAAGGGCTATCACGTGAGGGAGGAAATCAGATAATAAATCCAAAGAAACCTACGGAAATTAAAAATCTGAACTCAGGGGCAGGGCAGGAGGCGACACGGTCTTTTCACAGAGCCGTTACACATGATGCAGCTGTCCTCAAAAGCAGGAATGGAAAAGAACTAGCCATTCAGCTGCAGAACGAAGCTGGGGTCTTGGCTTTAGAGCTTCCCATGTCTTTAGCATTAGGCTGGGCAGCAGGTGCCTTTTCCAGAGTAGGCCAGAGAAGATAAGTCCAGTTTGGTTTTTAAGGCTTGAGTCAGCTCTGTGGCCAGCAGCTCGTGGAGGGACACACCGTCGTGGGAGTACACCCAGTTTCTCCCGGTCCAGTCGTAACGCTTGGGGCCACTGCAGGACAAAACACAGTCAGAGTAAGTCCATGGGGACAGCCCTTCAGAAGAAACCCTCACCAAGAAATTGAATGACTGCAGTGCAGATCTAGAAAGTAATACTTAACAAGCCATGTATTTGACTTCTCCTCTTAGGGTCTATTTAATATAACTGAATCACTCTGCTGTACACCTGAAACTAACAAAACATTGTAAATCAACTATACTCCAATTAAAAAAAAGCAGCTACACAATTATCCTCTGGTACAATTCACAGAACACCTCTCAAGACCTGAAAATATTTCAACCCTATTGATGAGTCTCCGTGTATCACATTCTGAACTTTTGCTTCTCCTAACTCACATGTGATACCTGAAATATCACAGCAGTGTCTTTTAGATGATGGCCATTCATGTACCACTGACATGATTTGTCCCTTACCTACATTATTATTATCATATTAGTACATTCCTAACACTGGGCAACCACTACCTCTATCTAGTTTCAAAACATTTTCATCACCCACAGGCAATTCCATATCCATTAAGCAGTTACTCCCTATTCACTCCTCTCCCCAGCCCCTGGCAACCATCTGTATTATTATTTAAAAAAATAGTTTTCTTAATTCAATTTTAAGTCCATGAAGGTGAGAGTTTGATGGGCTAGTTCATCCATCTCAAGCTCGTCTAGTGAACACAAGCTGTACGTGCACTTCATGCTGGGAACGCTGTGTTTGTGTGGTCCCAGGTGTGGCTAGGTTTCGCCGTGTCTTATTATTCCAGATGGACACAGAGTGTGCCCATTAATTCCACCTCCTCTGGGCCTAGTGGAGCAGGGGTGGGGGGTGGGGGGAACACGTGCTGAGGCAGGAGATAGATAGGCCTCAGGGTAAGCACCTGGAGTTCGTTCCCTGTGGACAGAAACTCCAAAATATCAATAGCAGGACAGTTGGGAGAAGAGCTGAGCCCTGCCCAGATAAGAGACAAAAGACCACATATCCCTCATTCTCAAAGTCAAGGAGACCTTCCCAACTACACATGCAGAGAAAGGCTCCTTGCAAGTTAAAAGGGAGGGGGCGCCACCCCATAGTAAGTGATGTCAACTACCCATAGGCCTCTTCGCTAGAATCCATCTTGGCTAAGAGATGCACATGTACACAGGGGAGGACCCTGAGATATACCAAATATGGCCTCAGAACCAGGCAAAGCAAGATGATCGGTTAAAGGAAACGTGGAAGAAATGCTCCATAAAAGGGATTCAAACTACCACAAGGGCTCGACTCTCTCTCTGAGCCCACAAGTGTGTCTATCCACACGTACTGTACTCTTTTTCCTCCTAATAACACTTTACTTGCTTCACTACTTTCCGTCTCTATGTGGAAATTCATTTCTACACAGCTGATGGGCCAGGGCCTTGTCATTAGCCACTGGTCCCTGGTGGTCTAGTGGCTAGGATTCAGTGCTCTCACTGCCACTGCCTGACCTCAATCTCTGGCCGGGAACTGAAATCCTGCTTCAAGCCGCTGCAGGCCGAGGCCACCAGAGATCAGTGCCAGCAGCTAATGGTGCTACATGATGACGCCTTGATAGACAAAGGAGCAGAGGATGCTGAGAGCCCACAGGAAGGAAGGGGCCCCTGAGTCCATCTGCACACTCAGGGGAGCTCTTCCAAAGTCCAAGACTGGGACGGGTTTGCCAGGGACGAGGAAAGCTTAGAAGGGAAGCATCTTTGGGGGGTTAGGAAAACATCAAGGATTTCTGTATTATCCACCAAAGGCAGGGGTTTGAACACTTAACAATGGGGACAAACCAAAAGCACTGGACTTTTGTTTAATATGCACAAATAGCTGAACACGTAAAGGCATAATAACCTGGATCAAATCCAGAGAACGTTCCCTTGGCCCTGGACTCCGATTTGCTGCCGGGGTGCCAGGCAAGTGTGAGAACCTCCAGGCCCCTCCACGCTGCCTCGGACGCCCAGCTGTCCACCCAGACCTCTCCTTGATTCCACCCTACAATCTCCTCAAGCAAGGTGATGGGGGAAGGCCACTGTGTCCTCTGACCTGAAACGCTGTCAATGAAAAAGCCTCCCAAATATCAGAAATGCAGCCCTAGGAAGGATTATTTTGGACCAACGTGAAAAATTGAGTGGAACATAAATTCTTTCTTTGAGGAACGTAGTATCCATGACAGTAAATGGCTGCTCGGCAGATTTTCTTTCCAGATTCCCCTCATGAATTACAGATTTTAAAAAAGCAACAAAACTTGGAATTTCTCAGAATTTCTTATTATCCAGCAGTAGGTTTTTCTAAACATGCCTGCGGTAGGATCCTATTGCTGGTAGGTGTGTCCAAATGCTATAAGGACTTTTTCTGTCTCAAGATGCAACACAAGGGAATTCTGTTAGTGGAGCCATCACAGCTGGTTCTGGTGCCCTGCCTGCTCTTTATAAAGCCACTGATTCCCGAAGCTGATGGCTGGATTGGAGCTGATCCAGCCAGTTCCTCTGAGATGAAGGACAAGACTGCAGCCCTCGTGCATGGCCAGCCACAGTTAGGGTCAGGGCAACTGTTTGAGGCCAAAGAGAACAGGCTAATTGGCCCTCCCAGGGTAACCCCCCGGCCCCTGCCAAACTTCAAGTAAACTAACTGGATCTAAAAGCAAGACCATCTGTGAATAAGGGCCTCGCTAGACATGACAAGTGATTCCTTGGAGTTGTTTTTCTTGAATTGTAACATACTTCCTAGACGAGGCTGGGATGAAGGAGGCCTAATGCTTTCTTTATTTTGAATGAAGAATCACACAGCACCATAAACAGTATAATATTAACTGCCTAAAAGTGATGTCAACACTGGGGCAGGAGAAGAGTTAAATACTTTTTTTGTTTTGATGCAAAAACCGTGGGGCTTTCAAAGACTTCCACGCTGGTTATATCTGGGCCTTTCCCAATTCACAGCGCGTTCTCTTTGGAAGTGCTAATGAGTGACCAGGAAGGCTGGTCTGAGAGCTTTTTGTGGGCGTCTCTTTTACTGTCTTACAACCACTTCAACAGCAGCCAGAGGGATGAGGGACCCTCTCTCCCTGCATGTTCTCAGGCCTTGAGACGCAGTACAGACCGTCTCCAATACAATCTTTTATTCCGCTAGATTGAAAGCACATCAATGGAAAAGGCAGGAGGGGTGAAAAGCCCTAGAAGGGCTGTTTAAAACACCTTCCCACCTCCACAGAGTACACAGCCCTGTTCCGCAAAGGGAATTAAACTGGCCTTTAACTGAGATGCTCAAAATGAACCAGAGGCCAAACTTTGAAGACAAAGGGCAACTTGTTCAGATGCTGTAAAAGCAAAAGTGGCTTTTTCAAAGGCACGGCAGTGATTGAGTAGAGAAAAACTGTCAAGGTGGGCTCCGAAAATTTTTCACTTGGCGTCTTGTTAACGTCCCACTATCTGCTTTTAGAGCCACAGAATCACCAGACAAGAAGTGATAGAACCACAGTAAGCTTTCCTACTGAGCGTGAGACATGCTGTGAAACATCAGAAAAGGTTCACTTACACAGCTGCTAACACATGAGGGTGACCCTTCTTAAATGGTCCACAAAGTCTTGTTTCAAGCAAGCTGAACAATGAGAGATTTTGACTTCTGAACGTACCTGGATGGTGAAGACAACCAGATTTGCTTGTTTGGGGTCTGCTTGTTGATCACGTACGTTCCTAGATCTCCACCCAGTTTAACTGTTAAAACACCACTCTGGTGCATCAGATGGAAAAAGCATGAAGAAAATAAAACAAGACAGAGTTATCACTGTGTCATAATCGCCTCCTATTTTGTTATATCTCAACACTTTGCATTTATACAGGTACGCAACATACACCGTAAAGAACTGTCTTTAATTTAGTGTTTGGAATTGGGAGGTAACGCAGAAAGAGCGCTACTCTCAGAATCAGACTATGATTAATCACGATGACACTTAAAAATCTCAGTGCTTTTCCTCGTTTCCTATGAGGTGGGCAAGGTGAGAATATCCTTAGTTAAGTGACTAGTCAGAGGTATTGCAGCTGGCAAACGAAAGGATCCACATCCTTATTGGTGCCTTGGTTCCTCAAATACCGGTCAGAACATACTAGAGACATTAAAAAATAGAGACACACTGGGCTTCCCTGGTGGTGCAGTGGTTGAGAGTCCGCCTGCCGATGCAGGGGACGCGGGTTCGTGCCCCGGTCTGGGAAGATCCCATATGCCGCGGAGCGGCTGGGCCCGTGAGCCATGGCCGCTGAGCCTGCGCGTCCGGAGCCTCTGCTCCGCAACGGGAGAGGCCACAGCGGTGAGAGCCCCGCGAACCGAAAAAAAAAAAAAAAAATGGAGACACCAACTCTACCGACGTCCCAGTCAGCACAAACATCGCGCAGGCCAAGTTCATGACCGAAGAAAGGAAAAAAGGCAAGAGAGAAGGAAATAATCAAACCACCTGCTTTGCTGCTCTCAGAAGAGCAGTAGCCTGAGCTCTGCCAGCAGAAGGCTGACACTCCAGACTAGGGTTCTTATTCCCAGACCCTTCCCAAGCTCACAAGCTTCTCAGATACCCCTCTCCAGCTTTATTTTCCTCTACAGGAGCCTTGAATTCGTCAAAAGACTGGCTGGTCCACCTTTGCCCGATAAATGCTCATTTAAATTTGAAAACCCTCTTTCAACAAAGGAGCCCTTTACTCCCAAGGCCTGAGGTCTCTCTAGAATGCGCAGGATATTAAAGAAACAGCTACACGGCTGAGCTGGTGAACGGGGAGCCTCGCTGCCCCCCATCCCCTGCACGGCCCGCAGACAGGCAGCCTTTCTCTGTGCCTCTCAGAGCCCCTGTCCACCAAGGAAAAAGTTCTTAGAAAAAGTTTTGTGTTTGGTGGTTCTTAGAAAGTTTTGTGTTTGGTTTGTAAACACAAAGAGCTGTTGAAAAGGTGGAGGGAATTCCCTGGTGGTCCAGTGGTTAGGACTCCATGCTTCCACTGCAGGTCGCCCGGGTTCCACTGCTCGCCGGTCGGGGAACTAGGACCCACAAGCGGTATGGAAAAAAATAAACAACAAACAAACAAAACATGGCGGAGAAAGTGCCAATAATAATATAACTCATAGGCATGGGATGGGGAGGACACTTGGGTTATTTTTTAAATAATGTTTTTTCTGATTAAAAAAGAAACGTAGCAAAATTATAGAGGCATACAGGTGGTATAATAAATACAGGTGGTATAAGTAAAATGCAAACATCAATAAAAATAGCATCTACTGTTTTTCAGTACCTACTCTGTGCCAGGCACTGTGCTTTGCACTTTGTGTAAAACTGCTTCCTCCGTGACCATAACCATGGAGGTAGGAATCATTATCCCAATTTATAGATGAGGACAACAGAGGGACAGGGTAATAAAGAAAACTTAGTAACGGCAGGGCTGATCTTAAATGCAGGTCTGCTCGGGTCCATAAGATGCTGTTGTTTCCATAACACGAAGCGCTCTCTCAATCCCACTAATCAGCGACATGAGCTGTTTACTCTCAGGTATCGGCTGCAGTTTTTAAATGCAGGGCTAGGATCACAGTATACATAAGTTTGCTTTTTAAAACATTTTTTTCTTGAAACCCACGTGTACTATTTTGTTAGGACTACCTTTCATTTATTTAAAAATTTCTTACAACTGTATAATTTAGTAGTTTTTAGCATTCCACAAAGTATTTTCATAAAGTGTGCAAACATCCCCACTGTCTTAATTCCAGACTATTTCCATCACCCCCCAAAGAAACCCTGTACGTATCAGCAGTCACTCCTTCCCCCCCTCCATATATAGTTTATGGCTTATTTTTCCATATGATATGAGGACCAGAGAATCAAGACATAATTTCTTCTAATCTGACCTACTTGTGGCCCTTAAATGCTCCAATGTGCATTGACCCTACACCTGGGAGGTGCGCGATGCAGCGGAAAAGGCAGGGGGCCAGGTCTAGGGATGTGCGTTAAGCCCCATCAGCTGTGTCGTCTCCTTGGGACAATATCTGCTCTGCCTCCTTCAGAGACAGTGCGAGGGCGAGGGGCTGAGGTGCTTCTGGGAAGGTTCCCCTGACGCCCCTCAGCTGGGACCATGACCCGTGCATGTCCCCACAGCTTCTGTGCTTTCCTCGCTGCGTCTGAGCTGCTAGCTTGTTTGCTGGTCACCTGCCCCTTCGCTCCACTACTATAAGCACCTTGAGAGCAGATCTGTCTTTTCACCCTAGCACTTTCAGTATTTGTACAAAATATCACTGAATTAGAAAAAAACTGTGGATGAGTGAACTGAGTGGCTGATAACCGGGCACTGTGATAACACACACATACCACATGAAGGGCAAGGTTATGTAAGGCAACACTCAACCACGCCCCCTCTTGTTCGTGGTGTGTAATTAGACGTTTTTCCCCACAGAGCCAGAAGCTGTTTCCAAGGGAAAGTGGCAAGAGAAGGGAAACTAGCTGTCTTACTGGTTTCCCAGGAGTTCTTAAAGCTTTTGCAACTGTCTTCAAGTAGACCAAATAAAGAGAGTTTTTTGTCCATTAGTGTTATTCCTTAACGGGCAATCTGAGTGTCTACTTGGAGAGAGTGGGTAGACTTTAATGCAGGGCAGTGCGGGAGAGAGAGGCAATACTTAGCAGCTGCTGAGACCCAGGCACTGACCAGTTGGAAGAGACCCTGGCCACAGCTGGTGAGGCTTGATTCCCGACAGGCAATATCAGTGGAAGCAAAAATAGCGAGGCTCAGGCTCTGTTGTCACCAGCTCATTTGCAGAAACAGGCACATAGGGGAATGGCATGTTGAGTCGGGATTTCACATACGTGCATGTGGCTTCCCACACTCCTAAAACAGATGCTGACTTCCCCTTAAGGAATAAGAATAATGAATATAAAGCACTTTTACCTACATTGTTTCACTGAATCCTAAGATACACCCGGGGAAGTAGAGGTTACTGTCACCTCTCCTGTACAGCTGAAGGACCTGCCGTCGCAGATAATTCACTGAAGCGCTCTCGGAAAGAAAATACAAATGCAGGACGCCAGGCCAGGCCCTCTGTCACCATATCCAGTGAAGTGCTAACTCTGAGCTGGGGTGTGTGACCTAGGACCCAGAGCTGGCCTTCAGGGGTCTGCATACAGCTCGCATACAGCTCTCATAGGTATGCAGGGATGTTTTTCTTGGGAGAGCAGTCAGATTCTCACAGGGTGTCCTGATCGCCAAGTGGTTAAGAAACCTCTGCTCTATGGCAATAATATACAGACAACTCAGTGAACGAAGGACATGGCGGCAAGCAAATTCTCGTTAAAGTGTCTAAGAGGCCAGGGCTCTGCCTGGAAGAAAAACGAGGGCAGTTTGGAGGTAACTCTCTAAATGGTGTGGTGCTTCTCACGCATCAAGTGTAGCGGACTCGGTGGTTGCCTGGTGATGGGAGGGGCTTGGGCTCTCGTAGGCAGCTCCTTCTGATAACCATTACCAGTGAGCAGCGAGGCCTGGACCCAGACACTGACATCCACCACGACCCACCCCACTTGATGGACCACACAGCAGCCAAGAAGCTGCTCACGTCTCCCAGTCCAGGAGGAAAGTGAAGAAACGTGGCCTGGGTGTATCTAGAGAATTCCTTTCATTTGCCTATTTGGCCAGTAGCAAGTGGATAAAACAGCACTAAGTGCTGAGTGGCATCAATGAAAGCATGTTCTGGAAAAGTAGGTGCGCCTCATTTCATTTACATGGTGAATCGACATTCGTTAAGTCCCCGCTAAGTACTTAGCAATGTTCCAGGCATTGGGAGACCAGGAATGGGCAGTGTTCCAGCCGTCCAGCTCAGTGTAGCCGTGGGAACTGATGCGTAAAGAGACAGTTACAACACAGGGTGATCATCCTCAGAGTGCTGGGCAAGGAGGGCAGGGTGGTGTCTGCCTGGAACATCTAGGAGGGCTGCAGAGAGGAGGTGACATCCAGCTGGACCCTGAGGGCACAGAAAGACTGCACTCCAGCCAAGCTCAAGTAATGGTGTTACAGGTGTTCTGCTGTCTATAATGTAATTTCAACTGATTTATCTTATATGTGAAATACATGAGTTTGCTAGCACCCGAAGGACTCTAATCAGGAATTCACACCCGAGGGTAGATAGCATTTCAAAGTACTTAGAAGTCCAAACTACAGAGGGAGCTACTATATGCCATTAGCCTTCTACACCTACACTAGAGTTTTCCTACTTGGCAAATGATTTGCTAGAAATACTTCTTCCCTAGTGAGTAGAATGGTACTCAATGTACAGTGTATGGATTGGCTAGAAAAACTCAGGTGCCTCTTCCCTTGCAAGAATGGGTTTTAGACTCTGGAAAGTGTAGCAGCTGAATCACTCTTCAGAGAGACACTCTGAAGGTAGGTAAGGTCCTGACCCACCACTGAGCAGAAGCTTTTGTTGCCTGCCTTAGTGAGGTAAGCAGAATCCAGCCGCTACAACACTGGCACCTTTGCCTCTAATGAAACATTCACGCAAAGTGTTTGAGTCAGGCAGGGGCTTCATTAATCCTGTAAGAACAGGTGGTGTGACTGTTTCTGTGGCATGTACCTAAAGGTTTGCATGTGTGGCAGAGTTTAGCCTGAGCCTTGGTTTCCCCATAGTTACAGAGCCTGGTAAGGAGGCTGGGGTAGAGGAGACCTGTAACTTCCCCGGCTCTAATCATCCCACAGACGGTCAAGTTCTGGAGGCCAGTCTGTAATGGTTCCCAAGTAGCTCTGTCTTCTGAGGCTGCCTGCATAAGCACGTCTACAGCCCCGCCGGGACATTTCTGCTGCTGACAGCGACCAACGAATCCACCTGGAAGGCATTCAATCGTTTCTTGCCTCGTTACCACCAAGGCCCTTACTGTCCTTACAACTAGGCTTGACACCTGCCCATCTGATGGAGTCCTTTTCTATCCAGTGCCCCCAACAGCAATATCCAATACCATTTCTATTGCTTTAGCCTGACAGCTGGTTGTCCTAAATAATTCCATGATTTAATCCCAAATGCACTCTTCATGACATTTTCTGGTATTAATTAATTGCTGTCAAGAGGGTTAACCTCTGCAGGGGATGTGCTCCCACTGGCAAAAAAGAGCTGCTCCCTAAGGCCTAAGCAATAATTCTAAACCCAAAGGCAGACCCTTGTTCAAGTCTGCCACCTGGTGGCCAGTTGATACACACCAGCACTGCCCTGGCTTCTAGGATTTGGGGCTTAAATTTCATCCAGCCCTGGGGTTCTCACCCAGCTGCATTAGAATCCTCTGAGGAGTTACTCTAAAAACTTAAAAAACCCCAAAGCCTGGCCTGAACCACACCCTAGACCGATTTTTATTTGATTAATAAAAATCCCTAGGGATGAGACCCAGGGATGCTCATTAGAACCTCAGGTGAGCTTTTCAAAAACATGCTTCCTAGGACTGTACCCTGACCACTGTATGAGAATTTCCAGGAGTGGGGCCCATGTCTAGTCTGAATACATCTCGGGCAATCTCTCACCCCGCTTAGGAACTAGCCTGCCTGCACGATGAGAGGCGTCTTGCTACACAAACACATGCCTGGGTCCCTCCCTGATTTATCTTCACAGGTATTGAGTGAAGCTGGAGAATCTGTATTTTTAGGCAAACGTGAGGCTCAGAGAGGCTGAGTGACTTGCCCAAGGTCACAAGCCTGGTGATGCAGGGCTGACACCAGAACCCCAGTCTTTTGGTCCCATCCATAACCGCATACTGCTGGAGAGGAATTCTTTATCTTAGCTGAAATTCCTAGGGAGGATACAGAAGAATGAAAAGAAGCAAATAGGTACCGCAAAGGAGACATCATAGTCTTCACATGTGTAAGGTTTGTCTGCAAGGTCTTCAAAAAACTCTGCTAAGGAGTCCAGCGTCTCCTCGACCAGTCTTTCATAGGTGGTATCGTCCAGAGGGCTGTGAGGGGAACAGAAACAACCCCGATCATGCAATCAGCAAACCGCTCCGTTCTATTAACATCGATGGACACATTTATTTTTTACTTAGATTTTTTAAATCGATGGAAAATATCTAACATATACCGAGTAAAAATTGAAACAGCATCAAAGGGTTTACAGAGAAGTAAGCCTTTCTTCCCAAATAGGCAGCCCCCATCCCAGAGTCAGCTATGATGAGCGATCTTTTAAATATATCAATGAAGCACCTTGCAGTTTTCCTTTCATATGTCTTGGAAATTGTTCCATATTAGCAATACAGTTTTCATAGTATTTTATCTTACATTATTCATTCAGTTTGTCCCCTTCAGCAGGACACTGAGGTTGCTTCCATTGCTTTTGTTGTTAAAATTTGTTGGGCAAACCACAAAGTGGGAGAAAATATCTTTATTCTATATATCTGAAAAAGGACATATCTAGAACAGGTAAAGAACTCGTAGAAATCAATAAGAAAATAAAATCCAATAGAAAAATGGGCAAAATACTTGAACAGATTTCATTTAAAAAAAAAGATATCCAAATGGCCAATGAACGTATGAAAAGGGGCTCAACTTGGTTAATCTTCAGGAAAATGCAAATTAAAAAATCACATTGAGATACCACCAGAATGGTTAAAATGAAAGAGACAGATAATATGAAGAGTTGGCCAGGAAGTACAGTAACCAGAGCTTTCAGATACTGCTGATGGGCAAGTAAATTGGACAATCACTTTGGAACACTGTTGATACTTCTACTAAAATTGAATATATTCATATCCTATGACCCATCAATTCCACTCTTGGGCATTTACGCAACAGAAATGCATACCCAAATATAAATTTCCTTAGCAGTGAAAAGACCAAAACCAATTTCGATTTGAAAAGAATAATTCAGATGACAGAAATATAGAATTGTATAATACAATTTGATACTTAATAAATATTGCAATTGCTCTAAAAAAAAGAAAGAAAAAAAAAGCATACCCAAGTTCACCAAGAGACATGCACCGTGCTAGAATGTTCATAGCAGAACTATGCAGCAGCCCAAACTGGAGACTGTCCAAGTATCCATAGGAAATACCATAGGTAAATAAATGGTGATATATTCATAAAATGGAATACTACAGTGCAAAACAGAATTGTCTGTAAATATAACAATATGGACGAAACACTTCTTTTGATGGTGACTGAAAGAAGCCACATAGAGACATGTTTATATTTGATGGTATCATTTATATAAAGTTAAAAAACAGGCAAAACTAACCCATGCTATTGGAAATCAGAATGGTGCTACTCTGGGGCAGGGAGGGGTTCATAACCCGAAGTGAGCAGAAGGCTTTTTAAGGGGCTGGTAACTAACATTCTATTTCTCGAAGCATTTCTTGAGTTACATGGTATCTTCGGTTTTTGAAAATTTATCAAGCTGTATACTTCTAACTTGGAGACATTCCTGTATAGGTACTATCTTTTAATTTTTTTTAATTGCTATAAATCCATAGAGACAGAAAGTAAATTAGTGGTTGCCAGGGGCTGGGGGAGGGAGGAATGGGGAGTGATTACGAATGGTTATGGGGTCTCTTTTTGGCGTGATGAAAATGTTCCGGAATTAGACAGTGGTGAAAGTTGCACAACCTTCTGAGGACACTAAAAACCACTGAATGGTACATTTTAAAATGGTGGAATTTATGGTATGTAAATTATGACAAAGAAAATTGCTATAAACCTCCCTGTATGAGCTTCTGCGCCCAGGCGAGGACATGTCTGTAGGTTACAGGAGGCGTCTTGGACAGCTCCATCATCTGAGAGTTTCTAAGTGGCCCCAGGAAGACACCAGTGGCTGCCAGTCAGTCAGTGCAAGACAGAGGTTTGCAGTATGGCCCCTCCCCCACCCAGCCCATTCCCCACCTCAAGGGCACAATGTGCGGAAGGCTACAGGGCTGATCAGGACATGGCGAGTGGGGGGCCTGCGGTGGGGCTGTGCTGGATGTTTCCCTCTCCGTCTCCTCGGCTACAGCCGACGGAGGGGGGGGATCTGGAGAGAACCAGGAGAGGTTGACATGTGCCTGGAGGAGCTTGGGGAACATAAGGGCACCCCTGACTCAGGCATAAAGTCCAAAGTCAAGAGCTTGACAGGTGCTACCTGTCGATGACAGGGGGGCCATGGCAGAAGTGGGCTGTCCTTAGCACGGCAGGTCGAAGGTGTGCTTCCCAGAGGCCAGAAGTAGACCCTGAAGAAGGAAGCTGGACTTGGGGCTTCCTGCAAAGGTCCCACCCAACCTCAGAGGACTGCTTGGAGGGACTGGGAGACAGTAGCAGAGAGTCTGCCCAAGGAGGTCACAGGTCCCACTGCCCGCCTCCCCTGCAGCCATGGGGAGTGACAGACAAGGAAGAGCCTCCAACCAGGGTTTCATAGAGGGGAGTGCCCCAGAGCCAGGGCAGAGGCTGTCCCAGTGCCGCTGGACACCTCAGCCTTCGAGGTGGATGAGTGACTGCATGGTCCTGTGGTTGCAGCCTGGGGGTGTGTGTGGAAGGAGAGTCCCTGCAGATACAGGTGCAGGGCAGTGGGCTGCAGCGGTGCCTGGCAGCTTTTCCCCAGAACCCACTGCTGGATGTCCTCCCTCCAGGCACCCGCTAGGCTACATTTCCTGGCCTCCCCAGCTGTTAGCTGGGGCCCCCAGACTAAGTCCTTCCTGCTAAAATGTGAGTGAGGGACAGATGTCACCTCCAGACCTTCCATGCTCTTATCCCTTTCTGTGGAGTGGAATCTGGACAGGGTGACCTGGCCTCAACCTGCAGAGGACAGTAAGTTGCTGATAGGCGATAGGAAGGTGGAAGGAGCCCGGCTCCCTGAATCATTTCACAGAGGTCTGGCCACCCCCCACCGACAGAGAGGGGGGACACGAACCTCTCCTGGTTGGAGCCATTGCAGTTTGGGGTCTACTTGTTACAGAAGTTTGGCCTGCCCTAACTACTAAGTTGTCAAAGAGAATAATAACAAAACTCTGGAAACAACCTAAATGTCCAGCAATAGGGGATGGGTTAAATGAATTATAGTACATCCATAAAACTTAATACTATTTCATTAAAAATAATGCGGTGGGGGGCTTCCCTGGTGGCGCAGTGGTTGAGAGTCCGCCTGCCGATGCAGGGGACATGGGTTCGTGCCCCGGTCCGGGAGAATCCCACATCCCGCGGAGCGGCTGGGCCCATGATCCATGGCCTCTGAGCCTGCGCGTCTGGAGCCTGTGCTCCGCAGCGGGAGAGGCCACAACAGTGAGAGGCCCGCGTACCGCTAAAAAAAAAAAAATAATAATAATAATAATAATGCGGTGGGTAAGTAGTGATGTGGAAAGACGCTTATGAATGCTGCTGCTTAGGGAGAAAACAGACGGGATGGGTTGCTATGGGATGGGTTTTGGTTTTCTTTATTTTTATTTTTTTGTTGTCGTTGTTAAAAAAGGTAAGAGAAAAGGAAAAAAAAGTATGTGTATGTGTGCATATGCTGTATATTGAGAGAGAGGGAGAGGGAGGAAGAGATCTCTGATGTGGAAGGTGTTTATCTCACCCAGCGTCACCCAAAGTTCCCGTTGTCCTCAAATTCATCCAACAGACCCACTGCTTTTTGACATTCAGGATCTGGTTGAGGCAGCAGAGGCTCAGACTCTAAAAGCCAAAGTGAAGAAGAACGTTACCATTTTACAACGTACAGTCCATTAAGGCACAGTTTGAATATCACTACTACGTTCGGGACTGACGAGGTTCAAGTGCTTCGGAGTGTATCTTTCTCAGGAAGTTGTTTCGCCTTCTTTTAGTGCATCAAACTGTGCTCTCCCGGGCTCTCGCTAAGCCTGTGCTGTCCAACTCGGTAGCCACAAGCCACAGGCAGCTATTTAAATGTAAAGTTATTGAATAATATAAAAATTTAAAAGTCAGTTCCTCGGTCCCATGGGCCACGTTTCGGGTGTCCCGTGGCATCATGTGGCTCGTGGCACAGACAGGACACACCCACCACCACAGGAGGTGCTGCTGGCAGCACCGCTCCGGATGGGGCTGGGGCAGTTAGCGTGGCGGGGGCAGAGGGGGGTTGGGGGTGCGGTAGGAAGTGTCAGCAACGTTCTTAGAATGTGACTATAGTGAGCGACAACAGATAGCAGGTGTGCAGAAGACAGGCTGTGCCTCCAGTGCTATGTGACAGATTTCACTAACACGATCTGCAGGGGACACCGTGACCCACTGATTTCTTTCAATACGTAACTGCTGAGCGCCCTGGAGCCCGGCTCTGAGGACTGGGGTCTGAGCTGATGACTGCCAGGCAGGCGGACCAGCCAGAGAGATAGTGGAGGGGACGGAGGTCTGGACGGAGAGAGAAGTGGTACAGCCGAGCGGAGACGGCAGGGCAGTGATGGAGAGGTGGGCTGCTGGACCTCATCCCAGGAAGGCACCGAGCGCCTTCCTGAGGTTGGTGGCAAGGTTCACCTTCTCCACAGAGCACGTGGCTGCCACTAAGAGAAGGGGGCAGAGGCTGTGGTTACTCCCTTGAGCCATCAGGGCCCTGGGCAAGCTGAGAAAGGAGGAGGCTGAGAAGTGAGCGGAGGAAATGGGGGTGCGGAACGCGGATGGCCGTTTAAAAACGTTGGCTCAGAAGGGAGAAGTGAGAGAGCGGCTGTGATAAGCACAGTATCGCCACAGCACATTCTAGAGTGTTCACCATCAGCGGGGTAGCGTCCTCAGACTTCAGACAAAGGGACTCAGTCCTCATTACATTCCAATGAGGGAAGTACTTACTATTCACGACAGTGATGTCCTATAAAGTTACCCCAAACACTGGATTAGCAAGTTACTAAGGGAAATATGGAGAGGTTCCTGTGAGCCTCTGGTCACGTGTCCACCAAATGATCAATGCATAACCTTGTTTTACGTGTTTCTGTTCAAACGTGCCTTGTTTAATATATATTGTTGATTCCTTGACACTGAACTCACAGCCAACAGCACGAGAACTCACGCTTTGGATGGAGCTTATCCAACCCACGTATTTTCTCCCTAAGGCCCATCACAGCCTTCTTGCACAGAGGAACACTAGACAGCACTTCAGCACGATGCTTGCGGGCCACTTTAAACAGTGAAATTATAAACGGAAGTCACGAAAATGTGAAAAACGCGCCACCAGATAGACTGTGAACAGGACCCTTGTTTCCAGTGTGGGAGCTGAGAAGTGGACAGAGTGGCACTTTGTCTGACCTCAGCCAGGGACATGTGAGTGGAGGTGACACATTTTTTGCTGCTCTGTACACGTTCGAAAATGACCACAAAAGTGCCCTGAGTATCGATTTTGGGGATAGAAATACATGTTAGTGAGTAGGTGAATTCACAAGTAGAGGATGCAGGAATAAGGAGGATCGACTGTATCTGTATTTTACAGATGAGGAAACTGAGGCACGGAAGGGTAACTTGCCCAGAGTCACACAAACACACTAAGTGGGAGAGCTGGGATTGGAACCCACGCTGTCTGGACCCAAGGTCTGGGCCCCAAAGGAAAGAATCACATCCTGGGAATGATACAGACACCCCAGACACGGAGGGGAGGGGTTTGAGAATGCAGGGCTCCCCTCAGTCAAGTTCCCTTCTCTCCGGGATCCTGGCCCCTCAGATCCTAGCTGTCTCAGTCTCTCTGCTACCTTCACACAGCTGTTTTTGTCGTTTAATTTTACATCTTCGATGGTCTGGTGGGAGGGCTGGTCTAAAAGCAAGGTAGTCATTCACAGCCAGAGTAGAAGACTCCATTCAGCTGTGTGGAATCACAAGAGGACAGTGGCCGAAGACTCCCTGCCTTGTCTCTCACCTGCTTTCCCCATCTAACATTGCCTGGGTAACTGCTTAACCCTCCCAAGCTCTGCTTCCTCCTCTGAAGGTAGGGATCATGGTACCGGCCTCGCAGACTGGTTATGAGGATCCAACAATAGGACATCAATATCCCAAACCCGGGGCCTGAGGGTTCCGTCGATTTCCATTTGGAAGCATGTCAACGGAAGTGTGAAGAGGTAGGAGGTCAGAGAGGCAAAATCCGGCCTTTGCCCAAGGGAGGCAGGTGGATTTCACGGTGGGGAGCCCCCCAGGGCCACCCTTCCTGCGGCCACGTCACCTGGAGCCATCCGACTATGTGTCGCGTGCGGGTCTACTTACTCGAGTCTCCAGGGTTCAGTGACTCCGTCCGTGAGCACAGCACAGGGCTGGCTCGTGGGAGACATTGGAGGAGGTACTAGATAGCTCTTGGGCCCACAGGCTCAAGTTCAGGCCCTGGAACCACACGACTCAACTAAGGCCTGGCCTGGTGGTCGGCAGGGAGGCCAGCCTTCACCCTAGCGTCCCCTCGGTCTCCTGGGCCCTGTCAAACCACAAGCCTGAAGAGAGAATCAGCTCTCGTCCGCTGCTGGGGAGGACAAACTGGCACGACCACTCTTGGTATCTAGTGAGTGGGATATCTGCTGGCCCCTCGCTCAGCAATGCCAGTCTGAGGACTTCACCCAAGAGGAGGTTCTGTCCACGCACGGGCACGCCCAGTGCAGCACCACTGTAAGAGCAGCTCACTGGACTCAACCGGATGTGACGGGAGGAGCCTGGACAAGGTGTGACAGACTCACCCAACGGCTACTATACAGCAGACAAAGCAAATAAATGACAACTGGGTGCATCAGTGTCGCTGAGTCTCAAACACTGATCACAACGACATTGATCACGAGGAGTACGGCACAGCAGAATAAATACAGCAAAATGGTTTTTTTAAACGAATGCTACATGCTTTAGGGAGACATACACAGGAGGTGAAACTCTGAGAAGGGGATGCCTGACAGAATTCAGGATAGCAGAGTCCTCTCAGGGAGGACCAGGCTGTAACGGAAAGTGCACCAGGCCTTCATGGAACACTCAATATTGTATTTTTTTAAAAAATATTTATTTATTTATTTGGCTGCGTCAGGTCTTAGATGTGGCTCGTGGGATCTTCGTTGCGGCATGCGGGATCTTTCATTGCAGCACAGAGGCTTCTCTCTAGTTGTGTGTGGGCTCCAGAGCGTGCAGACTCAGTAGTTGCGGCACGCTGGCTCAGTAGTTGTGGTGCACGGGCTTAGTTGCCCTGAGGCATGTGGGATCTTAGTTCCCCAACCAGGGATCGAACCCACATCCCCTGCATTGGAAGGTGGATTCTTAACCACTGGGCCACCAGGGAAGTCCCTGGAACACTTCATATTCAATTTCTTAACCTAGTGGTGGGAACATGGGAGTTTGTTATTAATCTTTAAACAATACGGATGTATTTTTAAAAATATTTTATTATTATTTATTTTTGGCTGCATTGGGTCTTTGTTGCTGCACGCAGGCTTTCTCTAGTTGCGGCGAGCAGGGGCTACTCTGTTGCGGTGTGCGGGCTTCTCATCACAGTGGCTTCTCTTGCTGCGGAGCACGGGCTCTAGGCGTGTGGGCTTCAGTAGTTGGGGCACACGGGCTGTAGAGCTCAGGCTCAGTAGATGTGGCTCACGGGCTCTAGAGCTCAGGCTCAGTAGTTGTGGCTCACGGGCTCTAGAGCTCAGGCTCAGTAGTTGTGGCGCACGGGCTTGGCTGTTACGCGGCATGTGGGATCTTCCCGGACCAGGGCTCGAACCCGTGCCCCCTGCATTGGCAGGCGGATTCTTAACCACTGCGCCACCAGGGAAGCCCATGGATATTTTAAATACCCTTTTGTGTATAGACTCTACATATAGAGTCATGTATACTGTCTGTGGAAGACAATAACAATGAATTTAGAGTGAAGTAGGGCATAACCCACCCAGGCAAAGGCCATGGGGTCATAAGTGATGATCGTGTCCCTCTAGAAAGATTAATAGATGCCTAAACGCCTTCCGAGGTATGCAGAAGTGGCTGCAGTAGGAGCTTCTGAAGTTGTTTAAGAGCAGTGGCACCTAGGTGTCTCCTCCTTGGCACTGCCTCCAGCATTAAAGCGGAAAGGTTAGAGACCCTGTCACTGTCACACTCTCTTATTATTAAGGTCGGAGGCTGCCTGCTGGAAGCAGGGTCTTCTCCAAGCCTCGGGGTGAATAAGGCAGGCAGTGGAGGGCTGTGAGCTGCAGGCTTGCAAGGCATTTCTGTGGATTCTGGGTTCTGCTGAGCAGCTGGAACTGAGGCCTGACAATCAGAAGCTACATGTGCTCACCTCCAAAGCTGTGCACACAGCAGCCGCCAGACACACGTGGCCACTGGGCACTTGAAACATGGCTGGTGTGACCGAGGAACTGGATTTTAAACTTCACTTAATTTTAGTTTAAAACTGATACTCAATAAGGTTACTGGAAAATTTAAAATATGTTTGGGACAACTCAAGTGTGTGAATTTACTTTTTCAGTTGTGAATTTTATAAAATCTAAATATAGATCAAGTATTTCCACAATAACCTCAGTTTAACATCTGGTGGACAAGGGATGGAAGTATGAAATCCATACTGGATTTGGAAGAATGAGTACAAAGAGGGAATGTGAACTATCTCAGTAATGATCTTTCAGTCTTGATCACCTGTTGACATGGTAGCATTCTGGCTATACTAGGTTACGTAAATGTATTGTTGAAGTTAACTTCACCTGTTTCTACTTTCCCAATGTAACTACTAGAAAACTTATTGCACAGGTGGCTCCCATTCTATTTCTGCTGTGGAAGTAGAAGCAGCGGGTAGAGAAAATAAAGCCGGAGAAAAGGGTCCCCAAATGAACTCCCCAAACGATCTTGGGTCAGAAGTCATCAGGACCCACATGGAGTCCAAGGGATCAACCTGAGGACAGTTAAGGCCTTAAAAAAATGAAACAGGATCGTGATCCCAGTTGCCACTATCATCCACCCAACTCCACAAGTACTGAAGATGTGCAAGGGAACTGCGGAAGAGACAGGTTAAACCAACCTGATTAACTATGGAAAAAGGGGCCCAATGGGTAGCCTAGGTTGTTAACCACCTAGCATTTCCCAGTGGCCCAAATCCCAGTACGTGCCAAGTGCCCACCTCCCGGGTGCGCCTCTGAATCAACAGCCCTTAACAGCCACTAGGTACCGTCCAAAAGACCACACCATATCTTGTCACTCTCCTAAATTAAAAACTGCAGAGGACACAGGCAGGCGTGGAAGGGCACGTCAGGGCAGCTCCAGGTGAGAGCAGCACAGAAGGATCAGAGTAATAAACTGCAGAAGGGGATCGTGGGACCAGCATGGCCATAACTACCTAGTTTTCCTGAGAAGAGGGGGAAATCCGTGGTTCCAGCTTTGAGTGTTGACCACGAATCCCAGTGTTTCTTCAAACAGGGTCAAATAACACACGTCAACAGGAGGTGTAGGCCTAAAGTCCAAATTCCAGAGCTCCGTGAACAATTTGGGTTGGATTTCACCTGCCTCCTTCACCATCCACAATCCATCCAGCGGACCAGCCACTCAGAGTTGATCGTCGCCCACTTTCCCGGCCTTTATCCACGCCGTTCTCTCCTCTGAGAGCCCCTCACCGCCCCCTGCCGGCTTCAGACCCTGATTAAACATCACCTCCATCCTCCGGTGTAACCTTCTCAACCCCACAGCCTTTCTTTGGGCTTCCTCCTTTCAAGTCGTGGAGTAACCGGGTCAGGTATTTCTTTGTATCCCCGCGAGGGAAGATAAGTGCAATTAAGTGCTGAAGGCTTTATATATGTTAATTAAACTGCATGCCAGCTCGGCAAAATGGGTACTCTCCCCTTCAGAGAAAACGAAGACAGGCCTCAGAGAGGTTCTGGGATCCCCCGAAGTCCCCGAGCTCTGCTGAGTCCAGGGGCCAGAGTTTGGAACCCAGGTCCGATCCAAAAGCCCTGCTGCTCTAGCTACTGTGCTTCACAACTTTGACATCTTTACCTCGCTCGCTGAAAGCGTTTCGTTCATAAAAGCCCATGTATATTATAGTACCTGGCATATATTATTAAAGTTATCGCAAAGAGAATTGACAAGCTTAGAGCCACCACAGGTCCCTAAGAGCCGATGCCCGCCCGCCTTCCCTGCCCTTGCCCGCGCGGTTCCCGCAGTTGCACTGCATGATACAATCTCTGTCTTCTCGCCAGAAAGCGGAAGCCAGTGCAACTGTAACCGGGAGAAACGGAGACTGGGGAATGCACGGCGGGCGCCGCCGCCCTTCCCCCGTCTGAGCGCGGCCCCGCGGGAGCTGGAGCGGGTGCGCGTGCCCGGCGTGCGCGGCCTCGCTACGCCGGCGTGCGGCCCGTGCGGCTGCCCGTGGGGATACTCACGGGCTGGCTGGGTGTGCCGGCCGCGGCGGTCCCGGTGCGCAGGCCCCGGCAGCCGTAGAGCCGGGAGTCCTTCGTTGGCCGCGGGGCCCCGGCGCGGGCCTGGGCAGAGCCCGGGGACGCCGAGCGGGGCAAGAGGCTGGCAGCCGCTCGGCGCCCTAGCGTCCACATGCTCCTCCCGATCTGCGGCCGCTCCGCCTCCTGCTCCCGGGACGCCGGGCGCCGCCTGGTGGTCACGGGTTGCAGCTGCAGTCGCAAGCTTCCCTTTTCTGCAGGCTTGGGAAACGAGCAGAAGGTAGACTTCAGTAAGAACTTCCCTGCGTTGCTCTATTTCTTCATTTAACAAAAATAGAGAACCTGTTTCGTGCAAAGCAGGGGGCTTACCCCTTGGGCAACATAGTGAATGCGTAACCAAGGTCCCTGACCGCAGAGACTTCAGCTTAATGACCCGCTGCTGACGAATTCTATACAAAAGGCTTTGGGAGCTGCAGTTTTGCTGTGAACGGGTGGGGGTCCTGAAGCTGCTTGGCCGCCAGTATAGGTTACAGCAGTTAGGAGATTGCAGACAGGAGACTGACTGCCTGATTTTAATATGTCCCCTGCCCACTTCCTACCTGTGTGGCCAGTGGGCAAGTTAATTAACCTCTCTGTGCCTCATCTGTAAAATGGGGTATACAAGTTTCTACTTAACAGGGTTGTTATAAGGATAAAATGAGTTAATCTATGTGAAGTTTTCTTGGACAGGTCCTGGATCCTATTAAGTCCACAATAAATACTAAGTTGTTAATACATTTTAAAATAAAATTTTACTTAGGTAGTGTAGTGCAAAGGAATACGAACTGTGAAAGTTCTTTCGTATTTTAATATGCTTTAGAAAATGTCAAATATGTGTACTAGAGAATATCATCTTTATGGGTAAGATAGTGAGAAGAGGAGATAGAAAGTGTTAAAATTCTACCAAGGCCACCTTGGTACTTTGTGAATAGAGTAGATAAGACACACGTATAAATACTTAGGACAATGACAAGTGTTAAATGGGTGTCAGTGTTGCATGGGAGAGTATATACAACTAGGGGTGGGGGCAGTCAGGGAAGTCTTCGTGGAGGAAGGGGCATTTGTACAGGGCCTTGAAAAACAGGGTAAAGGAGGTGGGATCTGACTGGCTCTCTGACAGTTCATTCTTTTGGTTGGGAGACATTTTCCTGCATTCAGGTAATTCTAAACAGCACTTTATTGAGAGCCTGTTATGTAGATGTTAGGCATGGAGAAACCATTTCCCCTTGTAAAGTGTCTGGAGATACTGGTTTTTTTAATATAAATTTTATTTATTTATTTTTGACTGTGTTGGGTCTTCGTTGCTGGGCATGGGCTTTCTCTAGTTGCAGTGAGCAGGGGCTACTCTTCGTTGCGGTGCGCGGGCTTCTCATTGCAGTGGCTTCTCTTGTGGAGCACGGGCTTTAGGCACGCGGGCCTCAGCAGTTGTGGCTCGCGGGCTCCAGAGGGCAGGCTCAGTAGTTGTGGCACATGGGCTTAGTCGCTCCACAGCAGGTGGGATCTTCCCGGACCAGGGCTCGAACGCGTGTCCCCTGCGTTGGCAGGCGGATTCTTAACCACTGAGCCACCAGGGAAGCCCTGGAGATACTTTTGATTGTCACAACTAGGCCGGTGTGTGTGCCCTACTGGCATCTAGTAGGTAGAGCCCAGGGATGCTGTTAGACATCCTGCTATGAACAGGAAGGACACCCACAACACAGAATTATCTAGTCCAAAACGCCAATGGTGCCAAGTCTGAGAAGCACTCACTAAAGCCACACTGGTAGAATCCACTGGAGGCAAAGAGAAGTGTGTTGGTTGTTGGCCTCGGCCCCAGACCCGTGGCACTAACAGTGAGGCCCTTCCTCACACACTCAGAATATGATTCCTTAGAGAGTTGAATTATTATTAACCAGCATGCTTAGCATGTTCTGGCATAGAAAGCGCCCCAGTACCTGCTCCAACTGCCTGCAAAGTTGACATCACTGCCCTGTCTTTTCAGCCAAGGAAACAGGCTTGGAATAGCAGAGCAGAGAATATTAAGGTCTCCCAAGAATCTGTTCTTCTCCAGATTCTGGGAGGTGATCAAAGGCAATTGGGCACACCTGGTAAGAGGCTGCGGCGCCCCCCCCCCCCCCCCCCATGGATGTGGAGAGATGTGGAGGGACCCTGTAGGTACCAGTGCCTTTCCCCTGCTCACTAGGTTGCCTCCCCCTAAAGGCAGGTGCTAGGAGGTGGTGTGTGGCAACCCCAATGCCTATCTGGTTGAGAAGGGGGGCAGAATTTCCCTGGAACTCACATTGTCGGCCCTTAGGGTACTTTGATGAGATGTATTCTAGGACAGTGATTTGCAAAATGTGCAGACCAGCAACTTCAGCAGCACCTGAGAACTTGTTAGAAAGGCAAATTCTCAAGTCCTATTCAGACCTACCCATCAGAAACTCTACGAGTAGGGCCCAGCAATCTGTGATTTAATAAGCCCTCCAGGGAAATCTGAAGCACCTTGAGGTTTGAGAACCACTGCAGTAGGGTACATCTTGGGCAAAATTGTGAATTAAGCTGGTGTCACGAGGTTATCTTTCTAAATCTAAAATGTTAATCTAACCATAGCACTCCTGTTAGTTCCCTTTCACCACCATCAAGATAAGTGCTCTTAGCTAGTGGGAAGCAGCCACATAGCACAGGGAGATCAGCTCGGTGCTTTGTGACCACCTGGAGCGGTGGGATAGGGAGGGTGGGAGGGAGGGAGACGCAAGAGGGAAGAGATATGGGAACATATGTATATGTATAACTGATTCACTTTGTTATAAAGCAGAAACTAACACACCATTGTAAAGCAATTATAATAAAGATTAAAAAAAAAAAGATAAGTGCTTTTTCCACTCACTTTTGTGTACCCTACTCTCCAGGTAATCTGAGTATACCAATTAGGATTAGATTTTGTTGAGTATATCAGAGAACGAGAAAATAATGTTTTAAACAATTTAGAAGTTTATTTCTCTTTCACATCCAAAGATGTTGAGAAACTGGCATCCAGGTTTCTTGGGCAGCTCAACAAAGTTGTTAGGCATCCTTCCGGCTCTCCAATCTGTTATCTGGGATGTGGACCTTGTCCTCACAGTCCAGAATAGTTGCCAGTATATCAGCCATCACACGTGTATTCTAGGCAGCAGGGTGGAGGGAAAGGCATCCTCTCCCTTCAAAAGACACATTCTGGAATTTTCACCTAATACTTTCACTTGCATCTCATAGGCTAGAAATTAATCATGTGACCTTACTTAGCTGCAAGGGAGGCCAGGAAATGGAGTCATTTAGCTGAGCAGCCAATGTGTCCAACTAAAATTTGGAAATCCTGTTATTAAAAAAAAGGGGAGAATGGGGGAGGGATGGACTGGGAGTTTGGGGTTATGTGATGCAAACTATTACATATAGAACGGATGGACAACAAGGTCCTACTGTATAGCACAGGGAACTATATTCAATATCCTGGGATAAACCATAATGGAAAAGAATATAAAAAAGAATGTGTATATGTGTATAACTGGGTCACTTTGCTGTACAGCAGAAATTAACATAGCATTGTAAATCATCTATACTTCAATTAAAAAATAAATTTCAAAAAAGGGGATGGGACTTCCCTGATGGTCCAGTGGTTAAGACTCTGCACTCCCAATGCAGGGAGCATGGGTTTGATTCCTGGTCAGGGAACTACCAAAAAAAATTTGGGGGGTGGGGTGAATGGATATTAGGAGGCAGCTAGACATCTTTGCCTTCACACACTACTCACAGTTCCCAGAACCAGCGATGCTTTCTTTCCCTTCTGGGTCATCCCTCATGTTCCTTAGTTTTCCATCTCTTTGCCTGGTGTGGAAGATTGGATTTCTCAAAGAGCGCCACACAAATATTTATTTCATCTCACATGGACTCCAAAGTCTTTGACACTCCTCAGAAGTGATGCTGGGTGACTTCCAAGATTAGGTCATGAAAAGGATATAGGTTTCTCCTAACTCCATCGTTTTGGAATTCTTGCTCAGGGGACCAGCCATCCTATTTTGAGAAAATCCAAACTAGCCCAAGCAGAGACCACATAGAGAGGAACTGAGGCCCCCAGTGCACAGCCAGCATCAACCACTAGACAAGTGAGCGAACCAGCCTTCAGATGATGCCAGCCTCAGCCTTAGAGCCTTCCAGCCGAGGCCCCAGACACCATGGAAGAGAAACAAGTCAGACTTTGTCACATTGTCCTAGAGCAGAGTTTGTCATCAGTGGCACTATCGCCATTTTGGACTGGCTGATTCTATGTTGTGTGGGCCGTCCTGTGCCTCATGAGATGTTTAGCAGCATCCCTGACCTCTACCCGGTAGATGGTAGTAGGATCTGCTCCCCCATCCACTTGTGACAATCAAAATGCTTCTAGACAAAATGCTTCTTGCCAAATGTTCCTTGGTGGTAGGTGGGCAAAACTGTCCCTAGTTGAGAACCACTGTCCTAGTATAACTTTGAATCAAAGGCCCAAAGCCATCTTTTTGCCTGACTTCCAAGTTTTAGATAACTGTCATTAACAGTATTCATATTTCTGCCCCTCCCTATTGGTATGACTTTGGTCTGTTTTTTAACCTGAGTTTCTGTTTCTTTAGCTGTAAAACCAAGCAACACACCTTTACCTCAGAGTTTTGTGTGATTAAGTGAAACTGTATGTGCAAAACAAAGACATCATCTAACCCTTGTCAGGCACTAGGCCCATGATTGGCCATGTCCACACACCTGTGGCCCCAGAGGGCTGAGAGCTCCCCTGGGACCACTTGGGCTGGTGGAGCACAGACATCCAGTCCCCACTTCAGGAGATGGCAGGCCCGTACGGATCACTGAGAAGCCAGGGCCCGGCAGCTGATCTGGGCACCTCTCCTCGCTGCTGCAGGTGGGGCAGAGGAGTGGGGTCGTCTTGACGAGACTTAGGTGAGGAACGGGGAGTGGCTGGGTACCCACCCTTCTTTACCCTTGGCCATCGTGGTGTTGCCCTCTCTCCTCCCCCTAACCTGATGCTGTTGTCAACCCCTCCATTGCTTTCTGCGAGGACTCTGGCCCTGCCCGTTCCTCTCTCCTCTGGCTTAGGCAATCAGGGTACCACAGTAGGGGGCAGGAATTCCATATGGAAGTGT